TTTTTAACAAGTATCAAATTTTGTACTAAAAACTAATTTTCCAATGTCGTGTAGACTTGTCCATATGTACACTGACATAATAAAGACACTGAAATATAGAGTGGACCCTCCACTGTTGACCACCTCCCTACACTGACCACCTCCTTAAGTTGACCTAATTTTCACGGACCAGACATGGACCACCTGGACATATCAGCAGGCCTAGTTCCTTATGTTGACCACCTCTGTATGTAGACCAGTTTGTTATAGTCCCTCAGGTAGTCAACTTACAGAGCTTCTACTGTATACTGAGATATGGTTAGACAAAATATTTTCCAAAGATGGTGGTCTAAGTCTGTAATAGTGGAATAAAGAAAAAAAAATTTTTGGTGGGTGGGGAAGAAAAAATTTAAGATCTTCTGGAACAATCAACAGGAAAAAAAATAACTGATTACTAGAAAAAGGAATCAAATTTCAATATTAAATAAATTCAAATGTTTTCCATAATGCTTTTCCTACTACCTTAATCATTTTAGAGTACTCCTGTCTTGTTCTACCAGGAACTCTACTACAGGACTGGTAGCCACATGACCAGTTCAAGTGCCGGCTCTATGATTTCCTTACTGGGTTTTTAGACAGGTTACTGAATCTCTCTATGCCTTAATTTCCTTATCTGTAAAACAAGCTACTAGCAGCAACTACTAGCTAAGATTTTATGAAAAGTGAATGACAGAACAGGCCCAGAAACATAGTACATGCTCCATCTATAACTATCACCCAACTTCATTTCTGGCTTTCTAAATGTGGGAACTAGAGGAAATTATAAGGAAAACTGCTTTAGACCTGAATCTACCATGTGAAAACTCTAGACTTCAATAAATTCATTAAAATAGAAAGTAAACTACAAACTATCTGATATAAAGACGTCAAAAAGTTGATCCATCTTAGTTACATAAGGAGCTCATGCTAATTAGCAAGAAGCTAAGGCTGCAATAAATACATTGGCCAACACCTGAACTAGAAACTCACAGAAGTCGAAATACAAATGTCTAATAAGTATATCAGAAGTTTAAAAAGTAGAACCTGTTAAATGAAATGTGTGGGAGGTCACTGTTTTAGACTTGCAACTGGGTCCAACCGACCAGACAAAAATCAGAATGGGGTCACCCATCCTAGGTGCCACAAAATCAAACTGAACTTTGAAACAGGCCAGCATTAAAAAAAAAAAAAAAAAAACCCACAAAAAATAAAAACAGACATTCACAGCACCAATCAGAAGGGACCCAGCATGCTGAGCCAAGATGACAAGGAAGACCCCTTTGTTTTAACTCTGTACAGAAAGTAACTTTGAAATGACCACTCCACTTTTTATTCCCTGTTTCTGCTTCTGGTTTGCCTATAAAGCTAACCTCTGTTCAGCTCATGTGAGTCCCTTTCCTGAATGCACAGATAAGATACTGCCTGATTCATGAATTGTTAATAAAAAGCCAGCTCAATCTTTAAATTTATTGAAGTTTTGTTTTTTCACAAGCCTCAGAAGGAATAGAATAGCATATTAAATCAATGAAATACATAGGATGTTAAAGTACAAGCCAGTCCCTCCATATGCCTGAAATAAATGTAAGTCGTGCAGGATTCCTACAAGCAATTTCACAATATGTTTAGAGCCTTTCTGAATGCTCTCATCCCCTGACTGAGTCCCTCCTGTGTATAGAAGAGATACAGTCTGAAACAATACTACATGACTGGTAGAGCCATTAAAATTGTTGCTTTTTTTTTTTAGACCACTCAACAATATAGACAATATGATCCCAACTTAAATACACACACACACACACACACTGACAGGAAATATGAGAATGCTAACAGTGAAGTGGCAGAATTCTTTTTACTTTTTGGTAACAAATTCTCTAATAAGCATGGATTATATTCACTAACAAAAAAGTTGTTTTGATATTTCTATTAAATATTTCCAGATGATATAGCAAATAAAAATCAATATATTTGACAATTGATGTCTCTGAAAAAATATATACATATGCATCTCAGTTTCTACTTTCCTTGGTCTCATCAATGTAGCCAAAAATTTAATTTACAGACTGGGCCACTTCCACTGTTGGGGCACAACTTCACCAACCCACTCTATGTTAGAAGCTTTACATACTATGTGGGGTAGGGAGAGGTTAGGATCTAAATTAATCCTATTCTAAATTAATCCCAAATTTTATTCCTAAAGACCTCATCTACAAGCTGAGGTTTTTCCTACTTTTCTGATTTATTCTAGTTCAGTGACTAGCAGGAAATCCCAACCTTGAAGCCAATTCCTGATGGGTTCTCCAACCCTATCCCGAGTCCTGGTAAATGGCCCCTCTCCTTCAGCCCCTCTCCCTCTCTGATCTTATAGACATTTGGGAGCATGATTTAAAAATGCAAGTTCTTAATGCCCCTAGACCACAGATGCTAACCTTTGGAAAGAGATAGTAGTCAAATCAAGACCTATTATTTCTAGCTAATGCCCCACCATTTCTCCTCATAAAGAAAATTCCATGCTTCTCATACCCACATTATTGTAGAACTTGAAGCACAGTGGTATTTCAAATTTACCATATGGAAAATTTAACCTCAAAACACTTAACCCAGGGGGAAAAAATTCTACTGTATTTGTAGTTCCAAAAGGAGTAATATTATTTTTAAATTACATTATTTCTTCATTCTTAAATTAAAATTGTGGGGCAGGGCCTGTGGCTCAAAAGGGTAGGGCACTGGCCCCAAATGCAGGAGGTGACAGGTTCAAACCCAGCCCTAGCCAAAAAACACTGCAAAAAAAAAATTAAAATTGTGCCACCATCTTTTAATATGGTCACTTTTATACAAGTAATATTTTATAAATATGCAAAAACAACTTTCTGAAATCCTTACTAAGCATATTCATAATGATTTAAAGAACAAAATTTTTGATAGAGTTCACTAGAGTAAATTAAAGTCAAATACACTAAAAAACATAACCTTTGTTCTTACTACATTTGCTCATTTTTATTACAAAAGATGTAAAATATAATAACAAAACAGTTATTGATCTGATGGTCAAGAGTCTTTGAATAGAAATATAATGTGGCAAAACTCAAGTTTAAAAATGACACAGCCTAGGCTGGGCGCAGTGGCTCACGCCTATAATCCTAACACTCTGGGAGGCTGAGGCAGGATGATCATCTGAGGTGTGGAGTTAGAGACCAGCCTGAGACCCGTCTCTACTAAAAATAGAAAAACTCAGCTGAGCCTGCCAAGCGTGGTGGAGGGTGCATGTAGTCCCTGCTACCTGGGAGGCTGAGGCAGAAGGATCACTTAGACCCAGGAGTTTGAGGTTACAGAGAGCTGTGATTGACTGCACCAGTCTAGCGAGGGCAACAGACCAAGACTCTGTCTCCAAAAATAAAAAAATAAAAATAACAACAAAAACATCCTTGTGTACAGGTTTTCAGACCTCCTTGGTCTCCTAAATTCTCTACTCAAAACATTTTCTTTGCAGCACTTCCTAGCTCTGTAATCATGTTGTGAAAGTCCACTTCTTCATGGCAACAACTTTTTAATTCGTGTCTCAAAATATTTCATTTTCAAAGAAATGTACAGTGATTTCCTCTCAGAGAATCTACCATTGATGTGGTCATACTGAGTCAATATTCTAGGAAATATGAAATAATGAAACAATTTCCAGGCCATTTTTAAGAAGAAAACTAGAAAATGGGACCAATTACTAATCAAAAGTTGCTAATTACATTTGCCTTATTTAATATTATTACTTCATTAAAGTTGTAATGAAAGGTGAAGATTAATAGTTTTTCAACTACTAGCTAAATCTCCAAAAACACAGACAGCGCCTTGGACACTAAATTGGAGGAGATTCTTTGCACTGGCATTCTCACAAAATTATTATATATATATTATTATATATAAATTAATTATACTATATATTAGTATATAATATATATTATAAAAATTATTATATAATATATAATTATATGTATTTTATATATGATGTATATAATTATATGTATTTTATATATAATTTTATATATATATGTTTTTGTAGTCAAAAATTAAGAGATATTTATGAAAGGATTTTATATAAAAGTAGGATTTGGCCACAACATGAGTTTGTAGCTGAAGGTGAGTTGATATGTAATAATTACAGGGTAATTGTTCAAATAGCATTATGGGTTCTCAATATAACACAGCAGAAAGATCAGGAGGTTTCAATTTAATTCCAGCTTTATAACTACTATCAGTATAATCTTGGGCAAGTTTCTTAATCTTCTCATGCTTTAGTTTTAACATCTATGAAATGGGAATATTAACAGAACAGTTCTCACAGACTTGTGAAGAATAAATTACATACACGTCACCATTCATAATAGGGCCTGAACACTGTAGCACACTATAAAAAATGGCTACATGGGGACAAAAGGGTTAGACATGGATTTCCAAGCAACTATTCACCAAAGGACATGGCAATCTCCTCAGAGTTGGGGCCTCTGAAGTCCACACCACCTGTTTCACGTTTGCCCTCTAAATACAGTGAAACCAAGTAGAACTATCAGCATGAAAAGTGTAATGGATTGGATTTGCCTGAAAACAGCAAATAGCATAATGTTGTAATTTAGTTTGTATTAACCTAAAAATGTTATCAGGATGCTATCAGCAATACTTGGCAAAAGGTTATTACCCAGTGGGTAAATGTTTGAAGAACAGACTAGGTGTGTGTGTGCCAACACTTCCAATGAAAGGCACAAGTTCCTTTCTCATTATTTCACAAATCCACATCCACTTTGTCAAGTTGATTTATACCGGTTTCCTTATCTTGTGTGTTTTTACTGATAATTAAAGGAACAATTGTACATTCCACTCTTTGTATTAAATACATTATCTTTCTGTTGACTTCAGCACACCACAAAGTCAAAATGTCAAGAAGCAATAATGATGCCTCCCAAACAGCCCAAACTCGTTAACAATTACTATGACCTTACCTTTATCAACAAGGCAGAAATGACCTTCCCTTCCTTTCACATCTAGGAAAAAGCAGGTTGAACTCCACCCTGTCAACAAAGAGAAAAAAAATTAAGTTGCTATTTGTTTTAATCTAATGGCTTGAGAAAAGTTTGGGTTATCATTACCAGTTCAAATGCAGAATCATTGGTAATACATAACTGATATAGTCTTACTATAGCACCTTAAAAGTTCTTGGGTGGCACCTGTGGCTCAAAGGAGCAGGGTGCCGGCCCCATATGCTGGAGGTGGCTGGTTCAAACCCAGCCTTGTCCAAAAACTGCAAAAAAAAAAATTCTTTTGAGCTCCTAGCTTATCACTAAGGAAAAATATACTATAAACTAGATTTTCATCTATAACAATTTTCTAACCAAATTTACTAAAAAAAAAAAAAAAGCAAAAAGAATTCCGTAGCCCTAAGTTACTGTTTATATCACCAACACTTTATTCTACTAAAATGTACAAACCACAATTAGATCTTAATTACGTATAAAACATGTTTTTCTGTATTTTTATATTCTCCATGATTTCCACATTTCAAAAACATAAACAAAACAGACACAGGAAAAAGAGAAAAGCAGTACAGCTGTGTGGTCAAATTAAGGTCAGCAGTAAGACTGTAAGAATACTTTCCATCCTAAAAATAGAATGACTACATGTATGATCCAGCTTCCACTTCTACGTGTATAACCAAAGGAATTGAAAGCAGGATCTTGAATAGATATTTGTGCACTTGTATTCGCAATACCCAAAAAAGGGAAGCAACTCAAATGTTCATCAAAGAATGAATGGATAAACAAACTTCTGTGTGTATATATAATGAAATATTATGAAGCCTTAAAAAAGAAGGAAATCCGGCCACAACCTACAACATGGGTGAACCTTGAGGACATTCTGCCAGTCACAAAATGACAAATGCCATATAATTCTACTTATATAAGGTGTCCAAAGCAGTCAAAGTCAAGGAAACAGAAAGTAGAATGGTTATTGCCGGGGATCAGAGCAATACTGGACACAGGAAGTTGAGGTTGAATGGACACAGAGTTCCAGATCTACAAGATGAAAAGGTTCTAGAGATATGTTACACAAAAATATACTGAACACTACCAAACTGTATACTTAAAAAAGCTTAAGATAATAAATTTCACTTTATGTGTTTTCCAGCACAATTTTTTTAAGGCACTAAGGCATAGGTAATAAGTAATACATATACACAAGGTTACAAAATGAGAATTCATAGCCTTGAAGTATAAGTAAGATTGAGGAACGCAAAATAGAGGAGAAAAGTCGAGGTAGAAGATTCTATCTATAAAAAGTCATTTGGAGGGAAAAAGTAAAAATTCAGGCAAAGATGGATCCAAAACACAGGCAGAAGAGCAGCAGTCCTGATAAAATCAGAAAGGCAGATGGAGGGTCTTTCATTAAGGTGGTCAGGACACAAGGGAGAGTCTTTGAAGTGACAGAACAAGAGCTTCACACTCTGAGCAGACACACCGGACAGGTGAGAGAAAGCAGTCAAAACACCTGTGAGGAGTTTGTTCAGTGCTGATGCAGGAAGTCCGTCTTAAGGCAGGAGGGAAAATAATTCAGATAGAATATGTCTACATTCAGTCCAGGCACATGTGACATGCGCCTGGGGCACACATTGGCAGCCTAATCAGTTTGGAGACATACTCTATAAAACATTTCAAACCCCATATGAACTTACACTACCTTTAAACTGGATCGGATTGCTATTTCGTCCTGCTAAACTTCTCAGGACAGATACTGTCTCTTACATCTTCATATCTGAAATTCAGTTTTATGCTCAGAAAAAGCAATTTGTAAGTAATTGTCTGAGGGAACTGATGATCATCTTTCATTACTGAATGTTTACATGGGGATATGCTAAACACTTGATCTTGTTATAAAAGATCTTAAATGTCATGAATAGCCAGTGACTGTGAATGACTGATTCACTGATTCACGCTGTTCATGAATACTAATTCCCCATCTAAAAAGTAAGGTTGAAAAATTTACATATGTCTACTTTAATCAAAAGATAGAACTTCAAAAGTTATAGTTTAAATACACACTTGTAACCATCATTAAATAGGTGCTAATGGTAGGGACATTTTATGCCATATTGCTCCTAGTTTGAAAAAGTAATTTTGAAAAATATTTTTAGAATTTCAAGGGTATTGAAAACTACACTTTAGACTTGAGAGCCTTGTTTATAAATATTTACATTTACTTTTACCTAAATTATCATTTTTCTCTGAATTCCTAAATCATATTCTAGAACTGTGCGTTCAAAGCAACTAGAAGCTAATAAAAGATTTTAAAAGAGTCCTTGTGAGGTCACAGAGGCTGCCAGCAAGCTGGTAAGAGAAAGCAGACCTCACTGCCTGGATGTCAATTATCCAGCCCCCGGGCGCTTGCTCACAGAGCACCACAGCTTAAAATCATTACAAAGATAGCATTAAGACAATTAAACAAATTACTTGGAATCAAGAGTACTTAAAATCGATTCCTAACCTGAATAAAAGGTACCAGAGGACAACCTCAGAAATTGAGGTAAATTACAGAAAAGTGTTACAACATGAGCGAGCATTCATTTGTTTTCTTCTTACCACTTAAAATTTTTCAAGCATTCTAGAGTCAGACCTCAGGTTATTTCAACAATGCATACACACGAAGAAAGGCCTTAAAGTATTTCAGTAATGCAACAACACTTAAAATATTTTGCATATGTAGTAAGTCGGGTTGTTTCACATTTTTTGACTATTCAGTATCCTTACTAAAGCAATCAACCTTTTATATAGATGTACTTTGTATTCTTTTATATAATGCAATATTAAAAATCCTATTCTCTAGCATGAAAGTATTAGTGAATGCTATAATTACTAAATTCTGAAGTTCACAAAACCCTAAAATATTTTAAAGTAAAATTATTAAGTTTTTTTCTTTTCAAAACAAAAATCTATGGACTATGGGGATGGCGGGGGGTAATAGATTTCCTTCCCTCTTAGCAGAGGTTTAAATAAAACAACATAGGTACTCATAAATCAAGAAACACGACATCGACAAGAAATTAACAGTCTTGAAGGTGTAAAATATTTATATATAAAATTATAAAATACATGTAAAGTCTTAAAATCACAGGAGGGATTAACAACAGTTCCCAGTTCCAAACATGTCCATACTTTTTACTACACCAAGGCTAATAGCTTACTTTACAAAGGATGTACAAGGTGGCTTATTTAATCCTCACAATGAGTACACAGCACTTCACACGTAACAGAATGCAGGGCAGTGAAGTCTTGGATTCAGATAATCCTTAGGTGTGAATTCTTGTTTTATGTTAACTGGTTGTGTGATCGTGGCAAGCGGCTTAACTTCTCTAAACCTTGGTTTCCTCATCTCTAAAATGGGGATAATGTCTATTCCAATATACTATAAAGATTAAATAAGGTTCAGCGCCCATAGCACAGTGGTTACAGTGCCAGCCACCTATACTGAGGCTGATGGGTTCGAATCCAGCTTGAGCCAGCTAAACAACAATGACAACCACAACAAAAAATAGCCGGGCTTGTGGTGGGCGCCTATAGTCCCAGCTACTTGGGAGGCTGAGGCAAGAGAATCACTTAAGTTCGAGAATTTGAGGTTACTGTGAGCTGTGACGCCAAGGCACTCTACCAAGGGTGACACAGTGAGAGTCTTTCTCAAAAAATAAATAAATAAATAAGATTAAATAAGATGAAGCCTTTATCATAATGCCTCTCACCAAAAAAAAAAAAAAAAAAAAAAAATAATTTTCAGAAAAGTCTATGACAGAGTACACCTGAGAACTCAAGTTCTTCAGCTCCTCATCTAAGACTATTTCCACTGCTCCATGATTATTCTTCAAGGGTCTACCACCCGACACCCTGCAGTGTTGACATGAGAAATCCCAAACTCGGGAGTCAAATTCACCTTCTCTGTACCATCTTTACTTCCAGAGTGAGGTCAGAATCCAGTGTGAGACCGTCAGTAATGCTGGAGCAATTACCAATTCACTGTGCTAGTAGAGGGTAATTTTCCCCAAAGACCATCAAATCCACAGACGATGCAAAGCCTCATGGTAACCAGAACTTTTAGGTTAAGGCTAACATCCTCAAGACTTGAATGACAAAACACTAAATCATTTCTTATTACTCCCAACTCTCCACCCTCTAAGGTACTGTACAGAAATGAGCCAAGGGACTGAGGGGAATATAAGCTCGGGTGCTGTTAATACAAAACTTGCACTGATAACTCAGATTTGACAGAGTCTATTATAGCAATAATTCCAAAACAATCACATAACAAATAGCATAACCAAGTAAAGATGTTCTCTACCACAAGCGGTAAAAATGGAGCTCTTCTCTTTTTTTCCAATAAAATGTTTCAAAAAAGATCTTGGCAGGAAATAGAAAGGGAAGTCAATTCACTGAGAGCACCATGAGCGAGACGCTCCACAGACACAGTGATTAAGAACCAGTGTGTGACTACGATGGCCCGTGAGAGCCAAAACCCTACTCTCAAGACTGCATTCCAAGTTTAGTGGAAGAAAATCACAAAAACAAGCCCAAATATGGCACTAAGCTCACACTGCAAGAACCCAGGGAACATGAATTTTTATCCCAAAGTTTAAAAGCAAAATTTCATTAAGACCAGGGTTTATAAAAATAGAATTTAAAAAAGGCTGCATAAGTCATCACAATAAATTTGTTTTCTTTAAAGCCTAATTTTTTTTCTTTTTGCAACTTCTGAAATATAACTTTGTAAACCCGTAGACTACATAGATTTTTCACTCTATTTCCCACAAAGCTAAATCCCCCTTGAAAGTACTAGTAATAGTTTATCCAACCTAAAAAGTACTCGTTACGCTGTACACAAATAGTGACCAGACCTCAAAGGGGAAAGTGTTGCCTCTGTGCCTAATAACTTTTCAATGTCTTTAGAAAAAATGAATTCCAGGCGTACATGAAACACAAGCCATTTTATGCAAACCGCACTTTTAAAAGAAAGGCTTACATGAACTCAAGGAAAA